ATTGCATATAAAGGCTTGATCACCTACAGATTAAACATTTTGGGCAAGAATTTTTCATTCGTGGTGCTATGTGCTTCATACTGTCGCACTTCAGAAGGCAAAAACTGTCTAGGTGTCCCATTGTTAGTGATGCTGAGACTGACCTGGGTTATGTGGTGGCTGCCTCAATCAGGAGAGTTGTTGTTGTTGTTGTTTTTTTAAAGATAGGAGGAGTAATAGCATACCTATATGCTGATGAGCATGATCTTTGAGAGAAAGATACCTATTGATGTGGAAGAAAAAAGGGGGATTTTTAAGAATGTCCTTAAGTAGACAAGAGTGTGTAGGATTTATGGAAGAATGTTGGATATTGCAAGTGTTGGATGCAGCCGGTTAATTGATAGTAATGAGGTCATTTGGGCATAAGTGCAGGTAAGGTGAGTAGCGGTGGTACAAAAGCATGCGTGTGGAAGTTCTACTCTGGTAGCTTCCTTTTTTTCTATGAGTAAGTAGCAAGTTCATCAGGCGAGGGTGAGGATAAGAGGAGTTTTTAGTGGGGAGGAAGTCATACAGTCCTCTAGGACAGTGGCAGATGAATTGACTGGAAAAGTAGCATATCATTGCTGTGGAGCAGTTAGTGATCATGAACTTGAAGTGACATCGTTAAGCATTGTTGCATGATTTTCTCTAGCCATGTTCAGCTGCCTGCTTGCAGGTGTGGAGTAGGACAGAGAGTTGGATTTAACCAGGATTGGGGTTTATCCAAACGTGTGTGATGACAGAGGTCAACTGAATGACTGACCGTGGAATTTAAGCTGGATAGGAAGGGAAAGGATGGCAGGGAGGAAGTGAGAGACAGTGGGAAGGTAGTAGGATCAAACACAGAAGATTGTTAGAGTTGGGTGCTGGTTGGACTAAGCTGCAGAGATAGGAGTGGTGATTAGAGGAGGACGCCTGAAATCGAGGCATCCCTTGATGAAGGGAGTATATTTTTTGGAAATGACAAGGTCAAAGATATGACCTTGGGGGTGAGTTGCTGAGGTCACAGTCATTGGAGTTGACTAGAATAATTCTATAAGTGGTTGTTAATGCCACCGAGAGTTATGACAGAAATAGTGTTGGAGAGAATTCTAGTGAGCCGGGAGCTAACATATTCAGGGAATGAGGAAGCTTGTCCTGGGTGGAGAAGATACAGCAGCAAGGTGGTCTGCACAGGGTTGCCACAAGGATGAAACGAGTGGGTGCACGTGGAGTTCCCAGCACTGAGCATGGGCTGAGCACGGGCTCAGCAAGTGTTACTGGTTTTCATTCTGAGTCTATATGGCTCCAGAGAGCTGAGCTTAGACTGCTGGGTTTATTTTTACAGGGAGGTTGATTTCTTTTCATTTTAAGACCTTTCTAAGAGGCAGAGCTGCTCAATAGCCGTGTGCAACCTGGGGAGGTGGTGAATTTCCTGTCACTCAGTGTACTCACCAGACGGAATGAATACCTGCCACGGCAGTGCTGTAAAGGGGACTCTGGCAGTTGAAGGTGATGGGTAGGTAGGCGGTGGGGGTGATTCTAACAACTGAAGGACACGGGGAACGGGAGGAGTGGTGTCACAGCTATCCTCATTCTTTCGTTCAAACATGACTGAGCACTTCCCAGTTAGGGTGCAGAGCCTGGCTTGATGCAGGGGACCAGAGATAAATCTTAAAGGTTGGGACAGACCTGCAAACGAGTGTCATGTGGTCTGATGAGAGCCAGCACAGGCACAGCGGAGCTGTGACGATCTCCGTGGGGGTCAAGAAAGGCTTCAGAGTCCAGGGGCACTTGAGCTGGTATAGGAGGCTGAGTGGTCATGGCCCTGTGTGAACAGGGCAGGAAAGGACATTTCAAGCACAAGGCACTCTATGTGCAGGGCTACAAAGGCATGAAAGAGCATATGGGACATTTGGAGTGTCACGAGTGAGTTACTCTGGGCAAATTGCTCATCACACCTGTCTCAGTCTCCCATTTGTAAAAATGGGGATAGTAGTGGTATCCACACAGTAGGGGATGGGGAGGGGTAAATGAAGTGACGTGGATGATTTTTGTCACAGTTCCTATTGCAATCCCTTTGGGTGTATTATCTAACTTGATCATTTAAATAAACCCATGAGATGGGCTCTGTTATTATTATTCCCAGTTTTACAGATAAAGAAGCTGAGCCCTAGGGGGTTGAGTAGCTTGTGCAAGGTCATGTAACTGGGGGAAGGCAGAGTTTGGACTCTTGCCCAGCTCAGTCTAATTCCAGAGTTCTTACTCTTAACCCCTAAGCTATAGTCAGTGCTTTGAACATAGCTAGTATTAAATACTTGGTAGCTGTTGTTGTCGTGAGTGCTAAAGTTTCTCCCCCAGAGAGCTGAGGATTCTGTTACCACTTGTGTAGTTGGTTGAAGATCACCACTGCTACTCTCATGAGCAGCGGTGACTATTTTTGGAAGGCCCTCATCATCTACAACAGATATAGATCAACAGTTATACCACTTGTTTCAATTGGTTGATTTTGGGAAATCAACAGTGGGGAGTGATTTTTAATCTCCTTAGAGGGCAAGTTGTTCCGAGCAGATGCGACGTGTGGGAGGAAGATACGGGTTTGCTGCACTCCTCTGATGTCTGTGCACTGAACCCAAATAAAAGTCTCATGCCCCAGCAGCTCATGCATTGAGGGAATGGCAGTGAAGCAGCATATACAGGCAAGAGGCGGCATCCAAAGTGCCGATGACTGCCCAAAGTGTTCTCAGTGAGGCTGCTGAGAAAGAACCCGGTCCATCAATGGTGCCTGAGGTAAGCATAGACCTCTTAAGGGCTGGCAACACTTCTCTCATTCATTCATCCAACCAATAGCTATTGAGTACCTACCATATGCCAGACATGCATCTAGGCACTGAGGGTAGTAGTGAAGAAAGGCCAACACTTACAGAGTTTACATTTTTGGTAGGAGGAGACAAATGGTAATCCTGCTTGCATAATCACAAACCCCCTGCCTCAAAGGAAAGTTACATGACATGAAAAGAGGGGTAGCTTTCAGAGACATTTTTTTTTTTTTGGACTCTGACTCTACCAGGAGGCTGCTAGGGAGGGAGTAGAAATTAATTTAACTTTTTAAGAAAGTAATCATGCCATAGAATTAAGAGCTCATGACTATGAACCAAGTTATTGTACTTCCAGGAAATAAAACTGAATAAATAATTCAAAAGGATAAAAGGTTAATAATTAAGCTTCCAGCAGTAGGGAAATAATATGCTACATCCACCAGATAGAATATATACACAATGGTGTGTGAATTTAAGTAGCAACATGAAATAAAATGCTTAAAATATTATAACAAAAAAGTGAAACACAGAATGTTACCTGTACATATTTAGTCACTTTGTGACTAAAAGTTATGCATGTCCAAATATCTAGAAAAAATGTACATGGCTGAGACCTGAAAACAGGTGATGAGCAAACTGAGAGGAGATAAATTCTCATCTTTCAGTTTGACTTTCTTTATGTTGAGTAATTTAGGCAAAACTGTTGGGGATATTGAATTGGCTATAATATTGCATCTGTTTTATGTTTTAGTTTTTTGGCCGTGAGGCATGCGGGATCTTAACTCCCTGACCAGGGATTGAACCTGCACCCTCTGCATTGGAAGGAGAAGTTCTGTCTGACCACGGGACTGCCAGGAAAGTCCCTTAACCGTAGATTTTTCACCATTATAAATCATTTTGAAACTGAAAGCTATTTTTCTTTTTGCACATGCATATTGCTTTATAAAACTCATTCTTTACTTCATGAATCTCCTTCCAGTTCTCACCACAGCCATGTAAGGTAGGGAATTATTTTATATATGAGGAAACTGAAATATATAACCTTTTCTCCCTTTGAATTATTTATTCAGTTTTTTTTTTTTTTTCCTGGAAGTACAATAACTTGGTTCATAGTCACGAGCTCTTAATTCTATGGCATGACTACTTTCTAAAAAAGTTAATTTCTACTGCTCTCTTGAAATATACCAACTTCATTACAATCTGCCTGGCAATGAGTATTAATCATTTTGAAAACTGCTGGTTAATGTCAATTTTACAAACTAGTGTCTTAATGTTCAGTTGCCTCTTTTGAGTTTCTCTCAAGAGTAATCATAATTTCATATGCTCATTAATTGTATTTTCTGTTTTGTGATTTGTCTGTTCATGTTGATTGCCTGCTCATTTCTAGAGGCGTTTACTGTTTGAACCCTTTGCACACCTTGAGTTTACCTTCCTTTTTATTACAGTATTTTTTATTGTATACAAGTTGGAATTTTCATGCAACTGACTATTAAACTTTTCCTTTGTTATTTTTCTACATTCCTTCAGAAAGAAGAGAGCTAACAAATATAGAGTTCTATTTTTAGTTTTTAAAAATTATATTTTTATAATTTTTTCCAACTCTAAGAGTAACACGTGTACACTTTAGAAATTTTGGAATATACAAAAAAAATTATAAAAAATGAAAACCCTCATTACTCCTCATTCTACCATCCAGGGTGTATTTTATTATTTTTTTTGTCTTTTCTCTTTCTCACATGTGAATTCTAAAAAATGTATGTTTTCTGAATTTCAATTAACATTATACTGATAGGATTTTCACTTATCATTAAATATTCGTTGAAAATAATTTTTTAAAAGTTTGTTTAGAGTTCATTTGGGGATGAACTGAATCCTCTCTTCCCCAAATTGCTGTTTATGTTATGCTCAAACCAGTGACTAAACAATCCTTTCTTCCCAGGTTGGTCTGTGGTGCTTGCTCATGTTCTCATGTAGTATTGGACTATTTCTAGGCTCTCTGTGCTGTGTATGGACCCAGAGCACTGCACCTGTAATTGGCTTTTGTCTCTCTTTTTCTGAGCCCTTGGGGCTTCCAGTGCCCGCACTGGAGTGTAGCAGACGTCTCTGTCTATCTTGTTAATCTTTAACTCTGCCCCTGCTGGAAAACGACACTTAACTCTTTTTTTCTTTTTTTCTCCTTTGTAGATGCTTTTTGATCATCCTGAGAAAAATGAGCTTTGGCCTCCAGACCCAATAAAGCAAACATTCCTCCCATGGGGAATAGTGCTGGTTCCTGAGGACCTGGAGGGCCTGCAGCCCCAGGGGGATTAGCCAGAAGCAGGTAAGGAACACCTGGAGGCGTGGGATATAGAGGCAGCACCGGGGTCCATTTTCTATTTGGGATCGGCTCGGCAGAGTGCGCTGGTGAGGAGCCACAGAGGGGCTGAAGGTCTGGCTACAGATTTGCTGTTTTCTTCCTTTTTTTTTTTTAGCCCTTAGTCAGTGAGGGGTGGAGATAAGTGATTTGCCTATTTTGCCTATTTCTATAAACTATAAATATAAGATTTAAAGTTATTCTGTAATTCAGTCTACCTTTTTAAAGCACCTACTATGGCCAAGCCCTGCATTTGCTACTGGGCATCTAGTGATTAGTAGCCTAGGGCGGGAGCCCTACTTTGGCTGGGATTTTTCTTTCTGTTGGTTCAGTGTTGGCTTGTTCTCTGTAGGTGATAATGCGAGTTGTTACTTATTCTTCTAGAAGCCTGGTGGGCTCGTAAGTGTTCGTTGATACATTCCCATCCATTCAAGAACCCTTTATTGAATACCCACTGTGTTCCAGGCATGGTGCCGGGCACTGGAGTGTCAGAAATGAACCAGGAGGAGTTTCCCTCTAGCAGGGGGTCAGCATGAAAGCAAGCATTACTAAACACTAGAGGCAGGCAGCAGGGAGCAAGAAACAGTGCTGCTGTTCTTGCTGGGAGAACAAGAAGGGGAGGTGGGCTCCACAGGAGGCCAGAAGCAGAAAGGTAATGCTGTCTGGTTGCCAGGCAAATGGACAAGGGGAGAGATTGCCCTGAGGCACTCACGACAGAGCACTGGCCTTGAAGGCTGAGGCTTTCTTAAAGTTGTAAGACTGTGTTATGGTTGAAGGTTTGGGGAATTCTTCTTTCCTGGGAAACTCAACCTTGGAGAGTAGGTGCTGGCAGGAAGTCGAACACAAACCCCTCTGAGCCTCAGCCCAGTGAGACAGTGAACCAGGCGCCACCTCCCTAACTCCTGTCTTATTTCACTCATACACATAAAAGTTAAGTCCCAACTCCATCATTTCCAAATCACTCATGCAGCTTTGAAAATTATCTATATTTACAAAACCATAGTTTCTTCAGTTGTAAATGGAACTAATAAAATTTGCTCTTCTCATCTCACAGGGGCATACTGGGTCTCATAAACCTAATTGCTGTGAAAGTGTTGCCTGACTGGTAAAACAGTGCACGTGAGTAGTGTCAGTGCTGATAGTGAGGGTGTTTATTCTGTGACTTTCCAGCAGTCGTGTCACTAGAGATCCTGATTTCTGAGTCCTAGCTGGTCAGCACTGACTATTCACTGTGCTTTTTCACAATGCCTGTTCTTTAGTCCAAAGACCATGGACTTTTAGTCAGATAGACCTGGGTTCGAATCCTGGTTCTAGCACTGATTAGTTATTGACTTCAGAGAAGCCCTGTATCCTTGCTAAGCCTGTTTCCTCATTTTCTCAAGAGGGGTTGTTAATACCTATTCCACAGTGGTATAGTAAAAATTAAATGAGATAAAGCAGGTAGAGTGCCTACCATAGAGTAGGCGCTTCTCAAATGCTACTTTCCCTTCTTTTCTAGTTTTTCCTCAGCTGTCTTAGTGTCCTATGATTAGCTGTGTTGGGTGTCTGGGGAAATTGAATTGCTTGGTTTTCTGATGATGCAACAAGCACCTCCCCCATTTCATGATATCATGTTTGAATTCTCCCTCTGTGTACATTTCATCACTTCCAAAACTTTGGTGGCCCAAGGTAAGCACCCATCCTCCCTAGAGTCACTGGTTCCTGAGGTCTGTGGTGGTAGGAAGCACTGTTTGGTGCTTAAATTAGAGTCTCAGTGAGGTGGGATCAAGATGGTGGAGAAGGAGGACCCTGAGCTCACCTCCTCCCACAGACACTGCAAAACTACAACTACATATAGAACAACTTTCTCTGAGAACGACCTGAAGACTAGCAGAATAGCTCTTATACAACTAAGGATATAAAGAAAAAACACATCAAGGTGGGTAGGAGGGGGCAGAGACATGATTCAGTCAGGACCCGCACCTCTGGCAAGTGACCCACAGAGGAAGAGGATATCACAAACTTGGAGGTCCTTCCTAAGAGCAAAGGATTCAAGCCCCACACTGGGGGCCCCAGCCCTGGGGACCAGCACCAGGAAGAAGTCAAACTTATGACTGGGCGAGCTGGAGGGCTGTAGGAAACTGAGACTATGCTCTTAAAGAGTTTGTGCACAAACTTACCTGCTCCCAGTCCCAGTACAGAGGCAGTGGATTGAAAAGCACTTGACATTCTAGCTGGCCAGCCAAGACCACACCAACACACCCCAGGCTACCCCTCAGCCTGTACGTGGCTCCTCCAACTGTCCTCCATTTGCCGAGGTGGCAGCCCCTGGTGCACCCCGGGAGAAGTCCTGGCCCACACCAGGCTGTAACTCTAGCCCCTGCAGTTCCAGCACTTCCCAAGATGATGGCCGCTGGTGCATCCTGGGGACAGAGTGATATGTTCCAAATGAAAAACAAGATAAAACCCCAGAAAAAAAAACAAAACAAAACAATGAAACTGACATAAGTAATTGTAATTTACCTCATACACCATACAGAGTTCAAAGCAAGGGTCATAAATATGCTCACCAAACTCAGGAGAATAGAGGAATATGAGAACTTCAACAAAGAATTAGAAAATGTAAAAAATAACCAGTCACAGATGAAGAATACAATAACTGAAATGAAAAAAAAATACACTAGAGGGAATCAGCAGCAGATTAGGTGATACAGAACACGTAAGTGACCTGGAAGACAGAATAGTGGAAATCACCCAATCAGAGCATCAAAAAGGAAAAAGAATTTTAAAAATTGAGAATTGTTTACTGGAGCTCTGGGACAACATCAAGCATACTAACATTTGCATTATAGGGGTCCCAGAAGGATAAGAGAGGGAAAAATGGTAGGGAAAAAAAACATATTTGATGAAATAATGGCTGAAAACTTTACTAACTTGGGGAAAGAAACAGATATTCAGGTCCAGGAAGCATACAGAGTCCCAAACAAAATGAATCCCAAAAGATCCATATCACAACGTATATTTTTTTCACACTGCAATAGAGATTTATTACTTTAAAAAATTTTTAATTGAAATATAATTGAAACTAATACAACATTGTAAATCAAGTGTATAGCAAAGTGACAGTTAATTTTTTTTCAGATTTTATTCCATTATAGGTTACATATCAAGAGGTCATAATTAAAAGGGAAAAATTAAAGACAAAGAGAGAATTTTGAAGGCAGCAAGAGGAAAATGAAGAGTAACATACAAGGGAACCCCCTTAATACTATCAACTGATTTTTCAGCAGAAACTTTGCAGGCTAGAAGGGAGTGGCATGATATATGTAAAGTGCTGAAAGAAAAAACCCTACAACCAAAGATACTCTACCCAGCAAGGTTGTCATTCAGAATTGGAGAAGAGATAAAGAGTTTCCCAGACAAACAAAAATCTAAAAGAGGTCATCACCACTAAACTGGCCTTACAAGGTATGTTAAGTGAACACCTTCTTTAAGTGGAAAAGCAAGGTTATAGCAAGAAATAAAAAAATATATGAAGGAAGAAAATCTCACTGGTAAAGGCAATATATAGAAAAGGCAATGGATCAACTACTTGAAAATCTAGTATAAAGGTTAAAAGACAAAATTTGTAAAATCAACTGTAACTGCAATAATAGTTAAGGGATACACAAAAGATGTAAAATATGATGTCAAAAATATGAAATATTGGACAGTAAAAAACATAGAGCTTTTAGAATATATTGAAAATTAAACGACTACCAGATGAAAATAAGTCTATATCTATGTATCTATCTATAAATATATGTGAACTTCATGGTAACCATAAAACAAAACTTACAACAGATACACACACACACACACACACACACACACACACCACACATGAAAAAAAAAAAGAGAGGAAGAAAAAGAAACAGCACCAAAGAAAAGCATCAAACCACAAGAGAAGAGACTAAAAGAAGAAGAAAAGAACAGAGAAGAACTACAAAAACAACTTGGAACTGTAACAGTAGAAATAAGTACACATCTATCAATAATCACTTTAAATGTAAATGGACTAAATACCTCAATCAAACGACATAGGGGGCTTCCCTGGTGGCACAGTGGTTGAGAGTCTGCCTGCCGATGCAGGGGACGCAGGTTCGTGCCCTGGTCTGGGAAGATCCCACATGCCACGGAGCGACTGGGCCCGTGAGCCATGGCCGCTGAGGCTGCGCATCCGGAGCCTGTGCTCCGCAACGGGAGAGGCCACAACAGTGAGAGGCCTGCGTACTGCAAGAAAAACCAAACGCCATAGGGAAGCCAAATGGATAAAAAAAAAAAGACATGTATATGCTGCCTACAAGAGACTCACTTGAGAACTAAAGACACACAGGCTGAAAATGAAAGGATGGAAAACGATATTCCATGCAAAAGGAAATGGAAAGAAATCTGGGGTAACAATACTCATATCAGACAAAATAGACCTTAAAACAAAAATTATAACAAAAGACAAAGAAGGGCATTACATAATGATAAAGGGGTCAGTCTAAGAAGAGGACATAACATTTATAAAGATAGGAACACCTAAATTCTTAAAGCAAGTATCGCCTGTGCTCCAACGGGAGAGGCCACAACAGTGAGAGGCCTGCGTACTGCAAGAAAAACCAAACGCCATAGGGAAGCCAAATGGATAAAAAAAAAAAGACATGTATATGCTGCCTACAAGAGACTCACTTGAGAACTAAAGACACACAGGCTGAAAATGAAAGGATGGAAAACGATATTCCATGCAAAAGGAAATGGAAAGAAATCTGGGGTAACAATACTCATATCAGACAAAATAGACCTTAAAACAAAAATTATAACAAAAGACAAAGAAGGGCATTACATAATGATAAAGGGGTCAGTCTAAGAAGAGGACATAACATTTATAAAGATAGGAACACCTAAATTCTTAAAGCAAGTATCAGTAAACATAAAGGGAGAACTTGAAAGTAACACAGTAA